TGTGATGTAAGCCGAGAGAGAGAGCTCGTCCACCACGCCGCCCTGAGGGGGATGGAGACATTGGGAGCTGGCTCAGACCGAACTGCAGGGCTCGTTGCCCGGAGCAGGTGAGCCGCTGCCCAGGACAGGCCCATTGGGACAGAGAAACCCGGCTCCAGTGCTCCGAGTGGCTGGATTTGGGTCCTGCCTCCTGATGGGACCTGTCAGGCCCATCTGGGTCCCGAGCAGCTGCCCCAACCCCCCAAGTCATAGCAGCCAGGGAGGCCACAGGGTGGCAGTGAGTTCCACAGCTTTGTTATAGGGAGAGGCGGTGGCTGCTCCATTGTCAAGGCTGTATAAAATTTCAGTATAAAATCCTATCTGAGCCCCCCTGGAACCAGAGGCTGGGAAGTTGGTTTGAACTGACATTTGCCAGATTTCCTGTGAAGACCAGGGGCCGTTTCTGCAGAGGCTGAGGGATTCGCCTCTCGCTGGGCGAGTTCCTGCTCATTAAATCGTCCCCCCATGCAGAAATCTGGACTTTGCCTAACATTTGTCTCCTTCTAGCTCCCAAACAGCCGGGTACAGCCCCGGCCCCTCCCGTAGTGTCCCGGCTCCCTGCAAACTCCGGGGCAGTGGCAGGAATTGGGCTGTGACTTGCGCTGGGTGGGAATTTCCTGCTGAAATGATTTCTCGACAGACGACGCAGTTTCCACAAAACCAAAACTTTGCAGGAAAACGTTACTAATGCTGAAACATTTCGATTTCTGTTGGGAAAATGGAAACGCAACATTCTACTGTGAGTTGGTGGGGCTCAAATCGCAGCCTCGCGGGTTGGTGACCTGAACCGAAACCTTCCATTGCAAACCGGTTCAACATTCAGCTGCACTAGCCTTGTGCCCCCATTCCCCCATGGACTCGGCTCCATCGGACTACATCTCCCATGATGCACCGCGACCACGCTTCTAACTGAGCCGCATGGGGAGTTGTGGGAGTCCCATGACTTCAGGGCTGGGCTGGGCCCTGCCCCTCAGGCTCTCCGTGCCAGGCAATGGGTGCGGGGTCTGCTCAGTGCCTGCGGGGAGACCGGGCTGTGCAGGAGCCAGGGGGGCTGGGCCAGGGCTGCTCCCTCGTTCGGTGCAATAACCCGCTGCCCCGGCCGTTCCAGCCATTCAGCCGTTGCTAAAAACCCAGGGAAATACCCCAAACCGACACAGGTGACAACAACCAGCTGCCATGAGAGGCCCCCACCCCCTTCCCCAGCTTGTCCCCTCCTCCCCCATCCCATCAGCCCATCCCCCCAGCCTCCCACCTGCAGGGCGTTGTTCAACAGCTTCCCCACACTGCGGAAGCAGCCGGTCTTCCGCTGGCGGCGCTGTAGCCACCTTAGGGCATCCTCTAGGTGCTTCTCGTCGATGGAGATGTAGGGTCTGGCCTGGCCAAAGGACTTGAGAACGAAGGCCGTCAGCCTGGGTGGGGAGAGACCCCGTGAGAGGGACACTCTGCAGGAGATGCTGCGGGCCAGGAGGGAGGTGCGTGGGGGACGGGATGGGGGTCAGCATTGTGGGGGTGAGCAGAGCTGTCAGGGGCGCCCAGGATGGCAACGGGGGGATTTCGAGTGAGTATGTGGGGCAGAGCTGTGTGGGGAGCAGGACTGGAGTAGCAGTGGGGCTGGGGGTCAGGCTGCAGCCTGGTAGGCCCTGCCCACCCAGAGCCCTGACTTGCCCGTGCCGTGCGGCCCCTCACCAGGTGTTGCCCGTGGCGTCTCTCTTCCTAGAGGCGCTGTAAGAGCCGTCATTGTGCTTATAGAGCAGCTCGCGCTGATAGCCTGCAGGGATGGGAGACAGACAGCGAGTCCTGGATCCGATCACCCCCAGGGGCTAGAATCCACGCCCAGCCTGCGCCCCGTGGGGCCCACTAGCCCTCCCCTGCCCCACGACGCTGAGACTCAGAGATTCCAGGGGTCGGTTAGAATTGGGGGACGGAGTTAAGGCTGAATAGGGCCCTGATCCCCCAAAACTCCAGTGCCCGAACCTGGGGCTGGATCCCAACCAGCGCCCCCTAGAGGGGAAAGGGCTCCTCTCCCATTCCCTGAACCCTGAGTCAAACAGTCCTTATGTCCTGGGCCTCAGGACTGGTGCCCCAGAAAGGAAAGGTCAAGGATCTAATTCCCTGACCCCCAGAGCCAGCCAGGGCCCTGATCTGGAGCTGGATTGGAACCCGGGCCCCAAAGATGGCTTGGACAGGGCCCTCGCATGGCCCCGCCATGCCCTGGGGGCACAGGGGCAGGAGGACACTCACCTCTCCGGAGGAATCCCTGGGCCTTGTCTCTGATCTCCGGGCTCAGCTGCCCGCTCTTCTCCAGGTACTGCTGGGTGTTGATGTTGTGAGCGAACCGGACCATGTTCTCCTCTCCGGATCCGTAGGGCATGGCCAGCAGGTGGTCTATGTTCTGCAGAGCTGTGCCCATTATGTCTCCTGGCACCAAGGGAGTCGGGGGAGCAGAGAATTACCAGGCTGCACAACAGCTGCTCCGTCCCTAACACCACGTCAGTGGAGTCCTGGCACGCGGGGGCCAGAGCCCCCAGTTCAATTCAGGCCTGGTGGGGTTACGTGGATACGTGGTGATGAATGGCCAAGACGCCAATGCCCTGACACAGCTTCATGGCATCACCGCGTGAGTCTATTGCCCCTCGCTGGGGACGAGGCCCTGGAGCACAGACTGCAGGGACCAGTCCTGCCCTGGCCCGAGACACCCACTGGACCTCATTGGTCTTTTCCATCCAGGATGCCCCAGCCTCAGAGCGCTGGGCCACAGACGGGCTGGATGGCGAAGGGCACCGCGCCCTGGCAGGGATGGGGCAGGGGAATTCCTTACCGTGGACAGTCACGTGGGCCTGCTCGGACCCCGCCAGGACATTCGCTGGCAGCTGCAAGGAGATTTCTTCGGAGTCTGCGTAACACAAAGGCAAAGACACACCGTTAAAGGCCTGTTGGGAACCTGCCCGTCTCCAGCCAATCAGATCCCTCCATTCCTCACCGTCTGGGGCTCTCGCCCAGTCACAGCCCCTCTCTCAACCCCAAGCTCCCCCAACCATGGCACATACGTGCCCTTGAGGGCGAGGGCTGGGGGTTCTCAGCAGAGGGTCTTGCCTGTGGGACTCGGTCCCTCTCCTGGCCCCAGAGAGCCGGTGTGACGAGCTCTGCAAGGAGCATCGTACACAGGGGACCAGGCTGCAGGGGAGGGGAGCTGGTGCAACATGGGCCCAGTCATAGGCGCCGACTTTACCTGGCGCCGGCGGGTACTTGCGCCCCTCCGGCTCTGGCCCCGCTCCAACTCCACCCCTACCCTGCCCCCATTCCAACCCCTTCCCCAAATCCCCATCCCTGCCTCCTCCCCTGGGCGCGCCGCATTTCCCCTCCTCCCCCCTCCCTCCCAGGCTTGCCGCACAAAACACCTGTTTCGCAGCAAGACTGGGAGGGGGAGAAGCGGAGCAGCGGCAGCAGGCTCAGGGGAGGAGGGGGAGGCGGAGGTGAGCTGGGGCTGGGAGCTGCCGGTGGGTGCAGTTTTTCCCCATGGGTGCTCCAGCCCCGGAGCACCCACGAAGTCAGCACCTATGGGCCCAGTGAGACTCGGGAGCAGGAACCGGACATGCTCGAGCCTTCGGCCCACGGCAGACAGTTCCATAACTGCCCACTAGGGGGTGCATCTTCCCCAGGCAGCTGGGCCTGGACCCTGTCCCAGGCAGGTAATTGGCCTGGATGCCCCCTGGTCCGGTCCGGCCTGGCGGCTCCTGTGCCCCTAGCTGGGCCATCCAGTGGCTCAGCCATCACTGACGTGCCGCAGCCAAGAGACTCCCCGTGTTAGTGACACCCACTGAGCCCCGCACAGGCGCTGGGATCCTACCTTCCTGGCAGAGCAGGGAGCTGTGCGCCTTCTCCTCCAGGATCCCCCCCGGCTGTGGGGAAGGAGCATCAGACAGAAGGTCAGGAGAAGGAACTGCGCACGTCACAGCCTGACAGGGCCTGCTGGGTCAGCCAGTGCCCCTAGCCAGGGCAGGATCATCCCCTACAGCCCGTGCTGTGGGGCTCGGGCACATCCAGCTCTCAGCGCCCCAGCGATGGGGCTCCCGTCCCTTCCCCGGGGAGACTCTTCCCAGCCCAGCAGATCTCGCGGCTTCTTCCTCTTCAGCACGGAGCTTCCCTCTGCTAGTTCCCTCCGCCTCCTCGAGCCCTCCCGTGTGTCACACTCAGCCACCCCCCTTGGGGCTGACCCCCATCTCTGTCTGCCCCAGGACTCTCCCACCAGCTCCCTGATCTCGCTGGGATGGGGCCACGTGAAGGGGCAGTGCAGGTCAGGGTCCGGGACGGGACGTGGTGCTGGGGCATTATTTTCTGTGGCAGGACAAAGAACAATCACAAGTGCAGACTCGGCCCACGGCTCCCAGGGGCTGAGACCCAGGCCCCGGATCTCCCTCCGCTCTGCCCAGAGGCCCCGACCAGACACTGACCTGGACCAGCAGGGTATTTATCACGGTGTTCACTCGCCCCTGAGCCGGCACCACAGCCAGCTCGTTGCCGCACAGCTCCTCGGTGCGCAGAGCCTCGGTGCTGACGGTGAAGTTCACCTCCCCTGCCGAGCAAGGCGGGAGACACCCCCGTTAGATAGCCCAATGCCCCTGCCGGAGGCAGAGAGGAGCCCATGTCTGAGGGGGCAGAATAGTGGAAGTAGAAGGGGGAGGGTAGTGAAGAAGGGAGAGCAAAGCAGAGGAAATGGAGAGCGAGAGAATGGGGTAGAAAAGAGAGAGAAGGAAAGGGAGGAAGGGAAGGACGGAGGGAAGTGATGAGCGGAGTGTAATGGGTTTCTTTGCCTTAGCCCTTGTGTGGGAACAGCGAATGGCCACCCAGAACCTGCCCCCTCCCTGCTGAAATCACTGACAGCTGCGTTCAGGGGGGGGAATCTCAGAACGTGACATCGCAGCAGCGGCCAGCGGGACGGCAGAGGGGTCCTGGCCTACAGGGCTCGGTAAGGCAGACTGCTGGAAGCGTGTGGGGAGAAACTTTGCTTGAATCTGATGTAGTTTGTTAAGGCAGGTAAGAACAGATTTAAAAATTTTATTAAAGTTAATGTTTAAATTTAATATACATGAGTTAAGAGGGAAGGTATTGTACATCTGGGTCAGACTTGGGTTATGAGGGATTACAGGTATTGGTTGCAAGGATGAAAAGATACATACATATCGCATAACCAGCATAGACCCAGATTGGGGTGCAAGGGTTTTTAAAGTGTCAGTGGATAAGTGGGCTCGGGTACGCCACCCATGGAATGAATAAGGAGTCCAAGTCAGTATCGGTGTAGCGGATAAGTACATGGGTGGGGTGCGTCCCTGGATCCGTCAGGGAAGGAAGTGGGCTATTTCCCTGGTCGGCGGTCTCAGTTACTCAGTGTGGTATTGACGGTGTCCTGTGATGTGTTCCATATAAATGTCTCTGGACCACCTGATGGTGTCGGACACCATGAGCTGTCTCATGAGCCGGGCATAGCGTCAACTGACTCCGCACGCTCTCAGAACCGGCTCGTTGTGGGGGTCCCACGAGCCCAGGGCTCCCATGATCAGGGCATGGATCTGGACCTCGAGCCCTGGGGTCTCAGAGTCTCAGCCAGCGGGGTGTACTTTGATGCCTTCCGTGCTCGGGCCTTGTTGAGGGCCAGTGACCGGTTTTCAAAAGGCACCGTGACGTCTACAATGAAGACCTTCTTCTTTTTTGCATCCGTCATGACGATGTTGGGTCGCAGTCAGCTGTCTGTCCCGGGGATGGCGGAGTCGAGGGTGATCTTCCCCAGGGACGGCGGGATGGCTTTCACCAGCCGGTTCTGGATGGTGTTGTGTCGGTGCCGCCAGACTCCGGAGTGCTGTTTGCATCCACACAGGACGTGGGGCAGGGTCTCGTTTGCGTAGCCACATTTCCTGCAGCGCTTGTCCTGGTTGCCATGGCGGATGGCTCCATTGAGGGGGATGCAGTTGAGTCAGGCCTTGTGGACAAACGGCCAGTCGGCGAACCTGGTGAAGCTGCCCCGGGGAGGAAGTGGTTGCTGGCGTCCCACTTGCTGGACACCTCGAACACCTTGCCCTGGTCCGGCTTCCGCTTGAGATTCTCGGCATAGTGGTAGCGGATGGTGTCCTTCAGGGTCCTTTCCAGCATAGCTCTGGCGGTTGGGGTGACGCTGGTGTGGTCCGGGGTCTTTAAGTATGGCACCAGTATTCCCAGCTCCCGGCGCCCCTCGCACCACTTCCATCAGCAGCTGATCCTCTTACCCAGGAGTAAACATCTTCTCTTTATTTTTCTTGTAACCATTTCTGACTGTTATGCCCCATTCCTTGTACACACTTAAAATCTCTCTCTTTGTGGTTCATGAATGTGTTTGATTGTTTTATCTAATCCAGTGTGTTTAAATCCAAGTGTCTGGGCAACTCCATGTGGGGTGACAGGACGAGTGCATGGTATTCTCGTAAAGGAATATTGGCCGTAATGTAACTTGTATTGCCAGGAGAGGGCAGGGGAGACAGGACAGACCTTTCTGGAGGAAGATCTGGGACTGGGGGATGTTGGGGTCACCCTGCAGTATAACCCAGGCTGGCGAGAGCCAGAGTGTAACCTGGGAGTGGCAGGCAGGCTGCAGTCACACACAGACGCTCAGGGTGTGGCTTGCGTGCTGGGGCTGTGTGTGAGCAGCCCAGGTGGGAGCTACTGAAGGCACCCAAGGGCGCAGGTCAGGGGTGACAGAGCTGCTCATTAGTCTGGATTGTGCCCTGCTATGGCGCAGTGGCTCAGCGGCAGAGAGACAGCGGCAGCTGGGAGCCAGCTGCAGACAGCAGCAGTGGAGGCGTTGCCAGTGAGTGGGGCCGAGCTGGCTCTGTGCTATGCTGCTAAGGGGAAGTCCCAGATATTGAACCCGACCCTTGCTGCTGCCAGCTCCACCTGGCAGAGGGGTTAACGTGAAAGGGGATTTTCTTCTGGGGTGTCCTCGCCTCCCCTCCCCGCAGCTCTTCCCGTCCCTTCCCCTTCCCCTCGGCCCTGTGCCCTGCTCCTCACTCCCAGCACAGAGCCCCCAATGCCCCTTACCGGTCTGTCCCCCACGCAGAGCCTCCATAGGCCCCTACCTGCCTCCCAATTGTAAAGGCTCCAGCACCCCTTCACTGCCCCCCCTTGCAGAGCCCCCCACCCCTTCCCTGCCCATCCCCTCCCCTCCGGCACAGAGCCCCCAGCGCCCCTTACCCAGGCTGCTCACCGTCACCTCCCACTGGAAGGTTTTCCCTTCGTCTGCACAGAGGCAGCTGGTGTAGGCGCCGTCCTCACCTGCCTGCACCTGGAACTGCGCAGACTCCGCCAGCGTCACTCGCACCTGTGGGGCCAACATGAGAGCCCCCTTAGGGCTGTGGGGGACGTGCTCACACGCGCAGCTCCAGCCGAGACGTGACCCCTCTGGGGCTCAGGCCTCCTCACCGCGATGTGCTTACCCCAGTGGTCACAGGATCACAGCCAGTGACTGCCGGTGTCACTCGCCGGCCTGCGCCACTGCCCAGCTCCCTAGCCCCAGGTCATCAGCCGCAGCAGACCCAGCCGGTCAGCCCCGGGTGGCGCTCACCTTGATGCACTGCCGCAGGTAGTTGAAGACGGTGGCCTTTAGGGTGAAGGTCTCTCCCCGGATCACAGAGTACGGCAAGGCCACCTCCACAAAGAAGGGTTTGAAGGCCGTGAAGGTGGCCGTGGGCGAGAGCCCAAAGCCGACCTCCGCCGTGCAGAACATCCCAGCTTTCCACTCCGTGATGGTGTCGGGCACCGAGACTGGGACGTCCTTGGAGCCCCCCTCGCTGGGCCGGGACGGACACAAACAGAGCATCAGACATGCGGCCGCCCCCTGGGAAACACCCATGAGCACAGCCACCGGAGACGTCCCTGCCCGACACTCCGCTGGGCTGGAGCCTAGGCAGTGGCACAGAAACAGGCCAATCCCGGACAGCAGAGAGGGGAAGAGCTGTCAGTGCCCCCCTCTCGTCTCCTCCTCTGCCCCACGCCAGGTAGCGCAGGATTCTTCCCTGCCCCGGGACTCTCCCGGCAGGGCTCAATGTCCCACGGGATGGGGATCCCCCCTTCCGCAGCCAGACACGTCTCCCTGTCAGGGGGCTATTCCTGGGGTCAGCCTCAATTCCCCCTGCTCAGGATCCCCTGCCCCTCCCACTTGTTCCCCATGTGCCACCCTCCATGTCCCCCTCCGGGGGGTTCAAACCCCTCCCATGTTCTCAGCGTCGGAGCTCCCGGGCACCGTGTGGGAATGAAAACCCCACGAAGGACATTGGGGTCGGGATGATAAACACCCTGCCGACCACGACGGGATCCAGGGAATGGCCTGGAGGCCACTCCGCAGGGACGGTTTGTGATACCTCCTCACTCACCCCACAGGCACCAGGTCCCACAGCCACGTCTCTGTGAAGTACGCATGTGGCGCTGGCTCCTCCTGGGTGCAGCGTTCTGGCACGGGCTGGGTATTGCTCACTGGGCTCCCTGCTGCACTAGCCACACTTGCTGCCCCAGGGATCATGCCAAGAAAAGATACAAAGGGGGGTTGAGGGAGCCCCACGCTGGTTTGCGGGCAAATCCAGACGATGATTCACGTGTGTTTGCACCTGCAAATTCTTGATGTTTGGGGACATTTCGGGGGCTGCACGTGGCCCCTGGGAGCTCTGAGAACTGACCCCTGCTGGCAGGGCTGGGGCTGGAGGGGGTGGGGCTGGGGGTGTCCTACGTGCAGCACACACTGGTGGACTCAGCACATGGGCAGGAGCCAGAGAGTCCTGAGCTCAGTCCCAGCTCTGCCCTGAGCAGCGTTAAGAGTACGTTGCACTCCCAGAGCCCTACACAAAGAGCCGCTAGCCAGGCAGGTCAAATCATTAGCCCCACTGAGCAGCTGGGACATGGAGGCCCAGAGAGGCTCAGTGCGTTTCTACCGCAACCACTGAATATGAGTGGGCATTGCAAGACTTGATGTGATCATCTCCATAACAGCCAGCTTGACTCTCAGATCCCAGGGCAGCGCGTGAGGCTGGAGCTAGAAAAACCATCGGTCTCCGTGTGAAGCGAGTGTATCTGGGCTGGAGTCACAGAGAGACAGGCAAGGAGCTGGCCGATGCCACGGTCACCCCACTTGGCACAGTGTGATTAGCATGTGTATTGGGGTGGTGTCCGCAGGGGGTCGGGTACCGTCCCTCCACAGGCAGCTGCAGGCCCTGCTTCAAAGAGCCTCCAGCCGAAGGGGGAGGAGCAGAGCTGAATTGGAAGGGTCAGATGATTACGTGTGCCCAGCTCCCACTGAGAACACTGGAGAAACCCTCCCACCCTGGCCCCATTGAAAACAATGGAGAATCCCCACGCAGGATCAGAACCCAGGTTCCAGGCCCGATCTATGAGCCCATAGGACCATCTCCCCTCAGAGGGCAGAGAGGGCATTTGGAATTGCTGATCAAGAGGGATGGAAGTGCCCAGTCCACTGACCTGGTGAGGACAATGCGGGGCCGTGCCCGACAGCTGAGGCTAGGATATCATGATGTATTAAAAAGCGTTTATGTTCACAGGGCTCCTTGGTGTTGGTGTTGGTGAGAATTTTCAAAGCCACATCCTGGGTGAGAAGGAAGACAGAGGAAAAAACATCCGGAGCTCCTAAATTAGGGGACTGTGGCATCATACTTTCGCGTTTCTCCTCCCCCACCTACGCTGGAAGCAACAAGAACACTGGGAGGACAAAGACTTCAGCTGAGGAGACTGGTCCCAGGCTTAAAAGGGGAAGCCTGTGTGTTAAGAACTGTAACCTCTAGTGGGGTGAGAAAACTGCTTGATCCAAATACTGCCTAGTGTAATAAGGTTTAAGATCTAGACTGTGTACTTACCTTTTATTTTCTTTGGTAGCTATCTCTGACCTTTTGTGCCCACCACTTATAATCACTTAATCACTATCTTTCTGTAGTTAATAAATCTATGTTATATTTTACAGAAAACAGGGTGTTTTGGTTGAAGTCTTGGGAAATCTCAGCTGAGGTTATAAAGGCTAGTGTGTGTCCTCTCCACATCGAGGGAGGGGTGGGCTGGGTAATAAATGTACACTGGCCAGGCTTCTGACCAGGCCAAGATGGTACAGTTCCGGGGTGCAAGGCAGGGGGCTTGGGAGATTGGCCGGTGCCTTTCTCTGTGTGATTTGTATGCGGCTCTGGGAGCATTCATGCAATCTAGCTGGGTGGGGGGCTCCACATGCTGTTGTGCTGAGTGATCACAGCGCCTGGAGGGGTTTGCTGCTTGTCACTAGCAAAGCACTGTGAGAGACAGCCCAGGCTGGAGAGTGAAGGGGGCACAGCAGTATCCCAGTTCCAGGGTGTACCCGGGGATCCCATCACACAGAGCTGTGCCTGCGACAGGAGGAGAGGGGCACGTAAACCTCGAAGGGTCCAGTCTGCCTCAGTCCAGCCCTGAGCAGCCTGCTTGGATTCTCCTAACCGGGTGCTGGAGGCTTTGCCCTTCCCTCTGCTCGATGCTTATTCCCTTGGTAACCCTCTGCAGGAACAGCAGCGTCTGCACGTGGCTCTTACAGCCCTTGAAAACGTCGCCCTCAACCCCAGTTTTTGGTCTCAGGCAAAACTGCCAAATGGAGCCGCTGCAGAGCGGAGGCTATGGGGGTGCAACCCGCATCCTCCGAAACCTGCCCTGGGTGGGGCCTGAACTCACAGCCCGTGGGCACCCCGGCAATCCACGGGCCACAGCACGTCCCCTGGTGCCCCTCGGTCACTGTGACACCAGACTGCCTGCAAACCCGCTGGCTCCACGGAGCCCCAGCCTGGCTGCCTCCATTCAGGTCACCCCCCCCCCCAATCAGGGCAAAGAGCATGATGAGAACCGGGCGGTCGTGTAAACCCATTTTATGGGGGGGGGCTGTATCTTGCCCCCCGACACTCAAATGACCCCACATGTGGCCCACTAGTCCCACCCTGCACTGCCATGAGGCACGGCAAATCTCAGGCCAGGCTGTGGATGTCAGAGCACTCAGACACTCCTCTTTAAACAGCCAGCGACACTCAACATCCGCTCGAGCAGAGCTGCTGCCACCCCTGCAATGTGCAGCACCCGCCCATGGGGCCGTCCGCGCTCCCCGAGCTCCCCCTGCGGCAGCATCTGTCTGGTCCCCTGGTGCCCAGAACCCAACGCCCCCGCCCACCTGGGGGACAGTTCAGGGGAGTGACTTGTCCACTGGGCAGCCCCTAGATGCCGCGGTGCGCGCGGTGCTGGGTGCCATGGGCAGCACGCTCACTGTACAGTGCTGCTGGCAGGTGGAGGGCGGGTCCCGGCCCATTCCACTATGGCCGTCTGACTAGGCTCCCAGGCCCTGGGCAGGCTGCCATCACTCAGAGCAGCCCCCAGCTGGGACAGAGCCCCGGTCTCCTGACTCCCAGCCCCTGAGGGCTTTGGGAGGACGTCGTCCATCCCTCCCTCTGGCGGGGAAAGATACCATCACCCTCCGCACCCATCCTCCACCCCCTCCACACCCATTCCTCCACCTCCCTCCTTGCCCCATCTGCATCCATCCCCCACCCCTTCCTTACCCCCTCCACATCCATCCCCCCCAACTCCCTCCTTTCCCCCTCTGCAGCCATCCCCCACCCCCTCCTTGCCCCCCTGCACATTTCACTCAGGTGGCTTCCTCCTCCTTCAGGCTGCCTGGGACGGGCAGGAGAGCACTGGGAGCACCAGAGGCACCGTCTCCGCGAGCTCCGTTCCCACACCCGGTGCCACCGCAGGTCCTGCTGGTCGGAGGAGCCATTTCAGGAAAATCCTGCTCTGCCCCTGTGGCCTGGGCTGGAGCAGGCTCAGTTGCTCTGTGGCGAAGGCACGCGCAGGCCGGTCGAAGGGATGGAGCAGGCGCGGTGCAGAGGGATTCCTCGCAGAATAATGCTGCCAAACTCCAAGCCTCTGCTGGGCATGTGGGACCTGCCATTCCCAGGAGCTTCCCATTCAGACGAATGGGAGCTGCATGTCATGGGAAAGGCAAAGGGCACCTCCCTGACCCCAGGCGACCTCCCGGCCAAGGGTCAAGTCTCTGCTCCGAGGCAGGGAGCTTCTCAATTAAACAGCTTCATTTTATAATGGGAAAACCGAGTATTTTCCCCATCTCCCCTTCTGAGCAACTGCTGAGCTGTGTTAGCTGAAACCCCTCAGAAAGTTCAGCCTGAGGCCGACCCCTGGCAGGAGAAATTTCAGCCCCAACCGTTTCAGTCTGACAAAGTTACAAGAACTGAAAACTTCTAATGGGAAGTGCCAGAGAACTGTAACTGGAGGTGGCGCTGCCAGTCCCACATGTAATATCCCTGTGCCCAGGAGTGGGGCGGGATGGGGTGTTCCTGTTCCCTGGATACGCCGGGGATCTGTCTTAGGGCCTGGGCCGTGTCTGAAGGTGGCTGGGGAGGTGTATCCCAGGCCTGAGTTTGCTAGGAGCATCCCTGGGGATTCATTGGAACAGGCCGGACCGTTTGGTGGGATGTTGCCCCTGGTTACCAGCAGCTCTGGGCACATCGGAGCCAGTTTAGTCCTTTCAGGCTAGAGGACTGTGAGGCCTGGCCAGGCCCAACCCTACCTTAAACAGGCTGTAGGCATTAGGCAGTGCGGGAGTCTGGCTGCTAGTCCCTCTGCGACACCTCCATCTGCCAACGCGGCAGTTAAGAACCGCACCGGAGCTACCTGGGTACCCATGATAACATGACTCAGGCTCTCGCACTTCATTGGGATAGTCTCCTTGGGGAAAATCGGGGAGCAGTTTATAGACCTAAAGACAAACACAGACAACATCAGCCATGAAACTAAGACACGAGCTACCCCAGAGCCAGCTCCTGCCCCTCCTCCCACTAACACATCACCCCACAAACCTTCGCTCTCACCCCAGCCTCATCTCGAGCCTGGAAACCTCCCCCCACCCTGCCCATCCCCCATCCCGCACATGGGTGTCTGTCCCTGCACCTCCCCCCCAGCCCTAGGAGAGGGACCCGCGGCTCCCAACACCCTGGGAGAACCTGGGAGGAGCAGGTGCCCCTTCTCTCTGTGGGGCAGCGAATAGCTCTTAGCGCCCCTCCCTCACTCTGTCCGGATCAGAGAGGGGTCGCATCGGGGGCTGGCCCTGGGACCATGGCTCACAGGGACACGTGACTCAGTCCCTGGCCCACCGAGTCCCGTCTCCTGCTGCCCAAAGGGGCTTGGGAGGCTCCACTCGCCGTGTGCAGAGCCCTTGAGCTCCTGGACGGCAGGCGTCAGTGACGGGCCGAGTGCGATCCCGTCACCCGGGCAGGGACAACTCCCACAATGCACCTGGCCAGATGTCCCCTGCTGTACATGGGGGGCAGGGGATTCTCCTGCTCCCGCCCCTGGGGACCAGCTCTGCCCTGAAGAGCGAGCTCTGGTTACCCCAGCCATTATCTCAGCTCTGAGCTCCATGTTCCCAGCCAGAGACGGGGTGAGGGGTGCCAGGAGGGGGGCATTGCAAGAGCTGAAGGGAGAACAGGCAAGGCAAGCGGGGACCCCCCAGAGTTAGGGGGTGTCAAGTGCCATGGGAGCAGCCCCCAAACCGGGGAGAGGTGGCCTCGAGGGGTGTCCCCCAGCGGCCGTGCATTGCTCCTCCCTGCGAGGGGGGAGGACTTGTCGGGGGAGGGCCAGGCGACCGGCTCTGGACTCACCGTGTCGACACTGAGCTCGGCCTCGGGCTTCATGAGCAGCACGCTCTGATCCACGGCGCGGACGGCGCACAGGGACCCGGGGGCAGCCTGCACCCGCAGCTGGAGCTCTGAGCCCGGCAGGGCCCGGTCCTGCGAGAAGGCCAGCTTCACCTGGCGAGGCACAACGCGTCACAGGGGAGGGAGAGAGAGACCCCCGGGGCAGGAGGAGACAGGCCTGGGCAGGGGCGGGGGCAGGCACCGAGTGTCACTCTGGACCCAGGCCCCACTGGCTGAAGGGCTGGGGCTTTGGGAGTCGGTGCTGGGGGTGGGGGGTTGAAGCAGCCCAGGCTCATTCAACGCCCCCGTGGGACGGCTCAGAGAGCTGCAGTTATTCATAGACACCCGGGGGTGGGGGTGGGGTGGGGGGGGGATAGGAGGTGCAGGGGGGTAGGGATTCGACAGGATCGCCAGCCCCACCAGTTAAAACTCATGAGTCAGACCCCCGAAAAGTCCTGAGATTCTTGATGAGGACGAAGCCCTGGGCTGCAGCCTGTCCTCTGGCTCCTCCGCTCCCCCTGTCCCCCCTTCCCCCAGTGTGTCTGGACATGCACAGCACTGCCCGGGGGGGTCGGCTGAAGGCTGAGCGATGAGGCCAATACCAAACAGGTGCCAGTTGCCGGGGGGGCAGCCGCCATTGCCGAGGGGGGCATTGAAATTCCCCCAGGTAAGAGTGCATTGCCTTCCCGGACTGGGGCCGGGGGGAGAAGGGTCACACTTACCCCCAGGGCAGTGCGGTGAAGTTGGAGGGGGCAGAAGCACTCAGCCAGACCCCACAAGATGGAGGGGAGAGGTAGAGGAGGAATTCTGTATCTTTACCTCCCTACTCCCAGAAAGGAGGGGCCTTCCCCCCAACTGACCCCTATGTGCAGTGGGGAGGGGGCTGACGGCTGGTCCCTGGCAAAAGCTTTTTCTCAATGACAGGGACGTGGAAAAATTGGAAAGAGTCCAGCGGAGGGCAACAAAAATGATTAGGGGTCTGGAGCATG